GATTAGAGGTTCATACATACATTCCACAGTGCTGTCAGCATGCATTTAATTTGTCCATACTAGTTCAGACACACTGATAGAATCATATTTTATCATTGGCATTCTTAGTTCAGTCTCAATGAATGTCACTGTGCTAACATGTATAATTTCTAAAGTGTACAGATGGGAACATAGTAGCATTGCTCTGTATTTTAATATTCTCCTTTGCTTGAAGTGTTTAGGAGAGCATATAACTACTTCCTGTGTTTGCATCATGTATCTACAGTTAAATTGCAGTATTTCAGTACCTGAAGTGAGGCAACCTGAATTTTTGTAAGGGAATGAAAGGGAAAACTGCAAAGATGAAAAATATCTGGGTCCTTTAGTCCATTGAGAGGCCCATATATTTATCCACTGGTGAGAATTAATTCATACATTTTAGCTGCAGTGGCTCAGTCTCAAATTGACTCATATTAAAGAAAACAAGTGCTGCTCTCTGTTCATCTATTGCAGCTGATATGGGAACTTGTACAGTTGTCCCAAACCTCTCCAAAATATATTCTTTCTTCCCGCTAAGAACTTTGCCATTTTTCTGGCATGTTAAACTAGACTCTGAAAGATGTGTCCCTTCCAAATCTCATCTGAAATTTTTTGGGATTTGTATTCAGTGCTGCCGCTTCAAGCTGTATCTGTTGGAAGCCACAGTAAGTGCCTTACTGCCAACATACTAAGGTGGTGATTATTCCAGGCACTTGCTGCTCACTGACCCAAGACAGCCAGTAGTTAAGCCCTAGGATGGGTATGTTACAATATATAAAAGAGGCAGAAAGTTAAATTTTGGTCTTTATACTATTATTTCCTGAAAAACAGAGCTGCTTTTAAGGTAGCTGCTACACTGCGTGGTCATTTTTTTTTCCTAGTGGCAGGTGTATTGTTGATGATGAAACATAATGTAAGATGGCTTTTTTTTGGACTGTTTCCCTCAACTTGCCAAGGTTACTCATTCCTGTACAGACAGTTTCCACTGTACCTGAATTAGTTCCACTATATAATTTGTTCTGCTGCATTGGCTGGGCTGCTGGGATGTCTAATCCAGTTTGTCTTGCTGCCACCCTGTGTTACATGGGGATTAACAGGACAAGGTGATTGCACTCACACTATCTCAGACAAGGTAACTTTCTAGTCAGGCGAGTAAAAAGCTCTTGATGGATAAGTATCAGTGTGAAACTGTGTGCTTTAAGGAACTAGTGTAAGGAGTGTCCTTCCAACACCTGTACAGAAGCCTAAAACTGATTTGACCTGAATCAGAGTTACAGAAGTCTTGAGGACTAAACTGCCATCTTTCAGCCACAGTCTTTGGTCTTACTAACCTTGTCCAAAAGCAACTGTTCACTTTTCCATCAAAAATAACCAGAATTTGGTATGTCTTGGATACTGTGCAACTAGAGTCCAAAAGACAGGCAGCTGTATTTTGCTAGCCCTTCTACACAGCTCTACCAATACTTTTGCTTGTTCTGGCACCCGTTTTCTGGGGCTATTTTACCCTTAATTTCCCCCATCCATAATAGCAAAACGAAAACTCTTGAGGCTGTAGCACAAAGTAACATTTCAACATCAAACTTTGAAAGTATTTTCAGTCCTTCAGGCTTGATGGACTTGCTATTTGATTGTAGCCAATTCTCGTGCGTTATCTTATACTAAGAGTAAAGAATACTCTTTACCTTCTGTTGCTGTTACCGTCTTTAAAAAAGTCAATGAAGTAGTTGATTACAGAAACAATTTTGTTTGAGCTGCAAGATGGGTAATATGAGGCCATGAGTTGGTTTTCAGTATCGACACATGCAGCTTCAAAAGTAAGGTGATAGGGGCCAGACTGACTGAGGCAAATTCTCTCTGAAATCTATTCCCAAACTGGATATGAAATCCAAATATTTGTCCTTCAGCAAACATTTGAAACAGTGCATTGGTTATAATGACAACAGTTTAATTCTAAGGAGGGTCTGAATATACTAAATGTTGGCCACAATGTCTTCCTTTTCTTTTTTTTTTTTTATCATTTTTTTCCTTTTTTTTGGTAGGTCCTGGAAATGATGGGATCATGGTAATCTGGAAAGACAACTTTGAGTCCCACTACAGTGAAGTGGCTGAGCTTGGCAGGTACGTTTTGTATGTTGGTCTCCAAGGGTGTCTGTGTCAAAATATTGACTTCTCTTTCAAAAATTAAATTCTCCTTGAGAAATATTTCTTGAAATGAGGAAGTGAAAATGTTACCAGCACTAGATGGCACTGCATAAGCAGAACATAGTTAGGCCTTACAGTGATTGACACTGCTTCTGTAGTGAAGCTCTCCTTAACCTTTTTATTTAGAACATGAAAATTACAGACAGCAAATGACTGAAAATGGGCAAAATATAGGGTCATCCAACTTAATGATGACCTTTGAAAGATGGATGTTACTCTGATTTGAGTTCTCTGTAAATGTGGTAAAACAGATCTCTGTCAGGTGATAATTCTTTATACAGACACAGTTTGTAGTTGATGTACACACTTGCCAACTCTTATGTCCAGAAACTGCTCTGTAAGGGTAGCTTATTAGAGTTCTAAAATTAGTTATCTTTCAAGCAAAAGTATGTCCTTATTGCATCTCTCAGTTAATTCTTTCCTTTCAATATTGTATTCCAGGGGCAGATTTTCTGTCGTTAAAAAGTGCGACCAGAAGGGAACCAAGCGAGCAGTAGCCACTAAGTTTGTGAATAAGAAGTTGATGAAGCGAGACCAGGTTACCCATGAACTTGGAGTCATGCAGAATCTCCAGCATCCCCAGCTCATTGGCCTTCTCGATACCTTTGAGACCTCCACCAACTACATACTAGTGTTAGAAATGTGTGTGGACTCTAACATTATCTGTGAAATGCAATCTTTACAGCTGACTTTCTGGGGCATTTATAGTGGTTTACAAATAAGGAAGTCTAAGATTTCATAGAAGTTTAAAAGCACCTATGTAAAGTATTGCAGTTGTCTAATGCTGTTGCTAAAATGTTGAGTTTAATACTCAGAAGGAAACAAATTGAGATGCTGAACTGATACGTGGATGATTATCTAAGTCTGAAAGTTCAGCAATTATTTTGTATCAAGTGGCTACACAAGTGAATTAGGAATGTTGTGATCTGTTAGCTTGATACGGAATCTCCTCTTCATACCCTAGTCCTTTGTCTTCTAGGTGCTGCAGGCTACAGTTATTCCTGTAGTCTGTGGCCTGTTAGTTTTTTCTTTCAGTTCTGATACATGGATTAATCCAAAATATAATCCTTGGAATTCTAACAGGGCTGACCAGGGTCGCCTTCTAGACTACGTCGTGCGATGGGGAAACCTCACAGAAGGGAAGATCAGACTCTACCTGGGAGAGATTCTGGAAGCTGTGCAGTATCTTCACAACTGCAGAATAGTGCATTTGGACCTAAAGGTGAGGTGTGAATGGGATTCCAGGCACTCTGTGTCATTCCAGGCATAAAAAAGACTCCCTCTTCAAGGAAACTTGCAGCTGGGAACATAGAGCTGTGAATTGCTTTGAGACTATGAAGGGTTTGGGTTGAGGCTCCATCTCTAAATGCTTTAGATCACACCTAGCCAGCAAAGCAGAAACTGTCAGCTCCCTGTGCTTTCTCCTTGTAGCTCACTGAGCCTGTGTGGTCCTTTGTGCTGGAAATAATTGCTGACGGGAACAGTTTGGGTTTTATTTATTTATTCAATTATTTATTTGCTTTCTGAGAAACTTGCAGCAGAAGCTAATTTCTTTCTCAAGAAGTTTAGAGTTTGTTGCAGGGAGTGACTGCTTTTCCTCTGTTGCTGCAAATCTGTTTCTCATCTTTGCGCTGTGAGGGCTGACATCTTTGGGCCTTTATTCTACCTTTTGATGGAAAAGCTGTAAGAAAAGATCTTAATGTGAATATTAATTAAAAACTTATTCTTTACGGTTTTTTTCATGTGTATATGAATAATAATTAGAATTGACAAGTAATCTTGGTAGGAAGGGTCTCTTTAGCCAGAAGGGGTCACAGTGGTAAAAAGTAAAAACAGTCTGAATCTTCCCTCCATTTACTTCTGTTTTCCAAGCAGAACCAGTTTTGGGTCTTCTTACTATGGAGACCCAAAATTTTTATTTTTTTCTAGTGCTGTACAAAGTTCACCAGTACTTTTTCTAGTCTCAGGTTACATACAGGTGAAGGGATTAAAAACCTTTTGTCAGTCACTCTCACTTTGCAGAGATCACACCTACAGCAGCAGAGGCTTCAGAAATAAAACTGTAGAAATAATTCCATTTTCAGCTCACCAATAGTGAGGCAGTTCTCTTGAAGTCATATGCACCCAAGAGGATCTTCTGCTGCCATAGTCTTCTAACAGTTCTTGTCTCCCATCTGTACAACTGCATTACATTAAAGAATCACCAAGTAAAACTGAATTCTATTGAAAGCATTATGCAACTTCTGACAAGGTCTTCCAGTCTTTAAATGCAAGGGTTCTGTTTTCTCTGTTGTAAACCAAATAGAGCAGTTGCTTTATTCACCCTCTGTTTGTAATTGCTGTTCTTGAAGCTTAAGTTCCCAAACACAGGGTCCTGTGAAACTTTGCAAAGCTGCTGTTAGGAACAGCTGCAGGATTACATGGCAGAACTATATTTCCTGCAACATTTCTAGTGCCAGCAGCTAAAGCACATTCATTGCATGCTGTAGTAGACAAGAACCCACAGTTAGCTGGCCTGGGGGAAGCCTTGGTAAGACTGCCTCGAAGCTTTGCAGAGCTGGCCTTCAGCAGTAACCCTTGTAGCATGCAGCTCTTTGTTATGTTCTTGAGCTGACCCCACTGGCTGGGAAGCAGTTATGTTGGAGCATTAGATGTGTGTTAGACTGACTAGAAAAAAGACATTTTAACTTTCGCTTTTATGTTTTCTAGCCTGAAAATATTTTGGTGGACCAGAGTTCCACTAAGCCAACGATAAAACTGGCTGACTTTGGAGACGCAGTCCAGCTCAATACCACGTATTATATCCACCAGTTACTTGGAAACCCAGAGTTTGCAGCTCCTGAAATTATTCTTGGAAATCCTGTTTCCCTCACTTCAGATGTTTGGAGCATTGGAGTGCTCACATATGTCCTTCTTAGTGGCGTCTCTCCTTTCCTGGATGAAAGTGTAGAGGAAACTTGCCTGAATATTTGCCGCTTAGACTTTAGTTTCCCAGATGACTACTTCAAAGGAGTTAGCCAGAAGGCCAAAGATTTTGTATGCTTCCTACTTCAGGATGACCCAGCTAAGCGTCCCTCAGCTGCACTGGCCCTCCAGGAGCAATGGCTGCAGCTGGGGAATAGCAAAAGTGCTGACAGCATTGACATATCCAGACTGACTTCGTTCATTGAGCGGCGAAAACACCAGAATGATGTTCGACCCATCCGTAGCATTAAAAACTTCTTACAGAACAGGCTCTTGCCAAGAGTTTGACCTTGCTTGAAGTTCTCTCTCATTCTCTTTCACCTGCCAATCAATCAGACTGGAGATGGACTCCTCCTGCCAATCAATCAGACTGGAGATAGACTCCTCCTGCCAATCAATCAGACTGGAGATAGACTCCTTCTGTCAATCAGCTGTTGACTTGAATTTTGAGGAAAGCAAACCCCAAGCCAACCAGCTGCTAGTGAATGTTCGTGTGCAAATGCATTCCACAGGGACCCGCGCGGGGTGGCGTGGGGGACTGGAGATGCAGACTTCACGGGGGTGGAGGACGATAGCACTGTACTCTGCAAAAAGCAGTCGCAAGCGATACAGTAACAGTATTTTATTCAGGTTTCTGCAAAAAAATAAATAGTTTTTTTAATAAACAAGAGTTGAATTTTGCAAGTGAACTTAGCTACCGTTTTCAAGATTTATTCAAGGAAGAAATGCCTATGTTCAAAGCACTGGTGTTTAACAAAAATCAAATCATGCCTGGAGAAGACTCACCAAAATGGCTGCCCATTGGTACGGCCTCCATTTATAACATCTGGTTTTCACTTGGTCCTAGAGCTTTCCAGTTGCCTCGCCTGTATGTATCTCACGTAGCAGTGCACTGAGATCAGACTCTGCTTTTAAGTGCATCCAACCTCAAAGTTTTTGCATACAAATAGAATGAATCGTTTTGCTCTGATAAAATGTAGGCCTTACTTGTATATAGACTGTTACCTGCCTTCGGTCTGTAATTTTTTTTTCCCCTCCTCTAATCCTTTTTTCCTCCCCTCCTTCCTAAATGGTGGTATACCACTGTGCGGGTCTTCAGTTTGGGTCAGTACTCACTGTCCCCCTAAAAAAGGACTTCGGGTTGGTGCCCAGCTTGCTGACCCAATTGTCAAGCAGTATACAGCAGGATGAAATACTGTAAATGCACTCATTTGGGATTTTGTTTTCTTTCATATCATGTGCAATGTTGTGGCTTTAACATTTTATGCAACTATTTATGAGGACCTCTGTTGTAACTGTAATAAATATATAGAAAAAGCACATACTTAGTACGGCGAGCTTTATGGTTTTGTTTGTGTGACTGGGGGTTCTGGGTGGGCAGGGGTGGGTGTGTTGTACCACACTGTCATTATTAGTTTAAGATGAGGGTTAGCATAGAATTTAGTCAAGGCTAGTCAGTTTTAAGGATTGTTCAAAAAAAAAAAAAAAAGAATTAAAAAGAAGAGAGAGAGATATTCGTATCCCAAATGTCAAACTGGTAAAGAAATAGGGTGACGCTTTTTAAAATTTATTATTATTCAAAATGCCAAAGTTTGTCTTTCCCCAAATCAGTCTCAACACTACTTTTTAGAATTTTCAAATCTGTGTTTACTTCTTTCTGTGAAATGAACAAATGAATTTTGTGCTCTTTGGTGAAGAATACATTGAGAACGTAGCGGTCAGATGAGTAGAATCTGGCACGTAATGTAATTGTCTTAGTAACTGTTTTTAAGGTTGAAGTAATATTAACGTGAGCTATTTAAAAAGACAGAGATGGTTTTCTGTGCATCACTGAGTTCATATGGGTGTGTTGTCATCTATGTTTGTGTGAAATGCCATGTTTAAAGAAACCAGGCCGACATCCCACAATAGTTAGATATATGGGTCTTAAGCCATAACCTAGCTAGGGTTAGTTCTGAGCTCTGCGGCTTCCACTTTATCCTATTTATTCTTTTTGTTTGTTTGTTTGTTTTGGGTTTTTTTGTAAAGTTGTACAGAAACTTTTTAAAAGAAAACAACTGACTTGGAAACTGGATGTGTATTCGTACCAACCTCATATCATTATGTTTGTGTATTATTTTCCTTTATTGTTTTAGTTAAAGTTTTTGCTTTATTTTGCATGTATATTTCTTTGTACAGTGACGTTACATGTTTACACAGTATGACGTGATGTAAATATTTTATTTTGCCATCAGTTATTTTGAAAAAAATTAAACATATTTGACATAATTGTCTGATCTCTTGCTTTAAGGAGTTTGAAAGTTTAGGTTTGGTTGTATCTTAACTGGGCTCTGTATTTTAAAAGAAAAAAGTACGTTATTTTATTGCCATAAAATTCATTTTAAATTGCAATGATGTATCTTCTCTTCATGCCTTACAAAATAATATTTGTTGCCTTTGCTCTTAAGTGTTGAGTGCTTTGTAGTGTCATGATTGCTTTTATATAAAACATGCATAACTCTCTAACTGTGGAAATTTCATTCTAGTCTTTATTAGCTAGTAATTTTTGACCAGCAGAGTTTTGTACCAGATGTTCCCAGTTAAAGACCAAAGCATCATATTACAGTTTAATATTAAGCTGGGGAACAGATTTCCCACTCATTTTAGGCAATCCAGATTCATTAGGAAGAAAAGTTACTTTCAACCATAAAGATCTGGGGTTTGCAACTAGGTTCTGTTTGCTCCCTGTAAGGGAAGAAGCAGAAAAGTTCTTCATTGTGTATCTTTATCTCTCTCCCTTTTCTGCTATCAATAACCATTTGCAATTCAAAACTAAGTGAAAGGTCAAGGAACAATACAGACTGTTTATGCTTCTTGCTGCATTGTATACATGATTTTTTCCCCCCACTCTTTTTTCCACTATTACCTGTGAAGTGATGAAACAGTCCCTTTATTCCTCACAGTTTAATTACTGAGAGAGACAACTAAGAAAGATATTTTATGTTCAGAGAGACAGAGGATATTCAGGAAGGATGTACTGACAAGGATGAGCCACTGGGAGTAGATGGCAATATGCTTCATGGAAGAGTTTGTATCCTTGAGTTCTCTAAAATGCTTCTTGGCTGAAGATACACTAAGCTGGGGAAAAGTTACCCGAGTGCTATACAGACAAATAATGCACTGGTAGGTGTTTCATATAGCAGAAGTAGGTTCTTCCACTTGTATGTAAACAGGAGTGTGCAGTTTCTGGCCCTCTCCGTAAGCCCCATTACATGGGACAGCCAATCTTTTGACAGAGTGGAGTTTTACACAAAAACCTGCTGTTCGGTGTGAGAGCTTCTCTCTTTGGAGAAGAGGTTGCCAGACTTTAAAGTTGTGGCGTGAGTCAGTACTTTTCAAGTCAGGTTTGGGAGCACGGGAGTTCTCTGTTGCATGTCTGGTGAATACAGATTAACTTGAAGACCATTGTGCAACTGCTGAGCAGAAAGCCTAGCTAGATAATATTTCCATGGTCAGGGGAGTTAGGAAGACTACATTGTCTTCCTAATGGACAGAGTCCTAACACATTTCTGTCTGTGCTTCTGTTGACTAAGTCATCCTTATTCTCAGATAGGACTATTAATGTGTTGATGAATAGAGAGAAAAAATAATATATATAATATAATAATTAGATAAGCTAAGCTTTATATATCCTTTCCATGTATGTATAGACTCAGTGTGGGGGTGTTACTAATTTCTCTGCTATAGGGATTCAGCTACTTGTGGAAGTAGGTAGAACCAGGTAAGACCAAGTTTCTGTATTTGTCAGAACCAGCTCCTGGTGTTGTGCTGTTTTTGTTAGAACCACTGCTTTATCCCTCAGGCAAACAACTTCTGAAATTATTTTCTTTACGTTTTTTCTGAAATTGAATCTTGGTGGAGGTTATATTGGAGAGTAACAGGTAGGTTTTGCATCTGTAGAGGTTGTTTCCAGTACTCTCTGGACATTCATATCTGCTCAAGCAGTCAAGACAGAAGGCTTTTTCTATGTGCAATATAATGCAAGCGCATGATGATCTGTCACTGCTGCAAAGCAGCTGGTGCTCACTGTTCTCTTCTTCCTGGCAAGCAAGGACAGATATTCAGCACCCCAGGCTTCACGTGCCTGGTGTTCATCTCAGCATTTCCCAAGTAACTGCACTTGGTGGTTCTCCGTGCCATGCCATAACACAGGGCATCAATACAAGAGTAAGATCCCCATTTCACTGACCTGCCACAGGAATGAAGAGGCTGATGTGTAGGAGCAGGAGAATATACATCTCTTATGATGTATTTATCCTCAAAACAGGAACACTTCTCATCTCCATTTCACTCCCTGTAGCCCTACCCAAAAAACTTTAGGGGAATGGGGGTGGAAGGGTGGGTGGAAATACTGAGTACAGCAGTCTAATCTCCTATTCCCCTAGCTAAAGACAAGAAAACCAGCACCAAGCCTGCTAATAATAAACTCCCATCAGCCAATCTATGCCTTCCAGTAAAAAAAGCCATTATGAACTCTAGTGTGAGAGAGGAGCACTAAGCTTCCAGTTTTCTCCACTGATTGTAGATTAAAGTGATGAAACAGGCTAGAGATACTTCTGAGGTTTAATACATGAACTATCTGAGCTCTCTACAGGAAGGGTAACACTTGAGATAGTTTCATTGTCTAATTGTGAGCAGTAATCTGAAAGCTGCTTTTTTCATGAGTTTTCATCCTAACACATTTGCTTGTTGAGTACTGGAAGGACTTTTTGTTGATTGAGGAAATGTGCAGATGAGGTACTTCAGACTGCATCAGTTGCAGCAGATGAAGCTTCAGATTCCATCATAGTGGTAATGTATCAGTTCTCACTGCTCAGCATTGCTGGGTTTCTGAAGGAAAACCCCTTCTATCCAAAGAGGACAAGTATATTGAACTATAGGAAGGATGAGACCCTAACACCAAAGCAATGCTTAAATCTCTGCAGACTCAATTTTGAGCCACCAAAAGACATTCTATCCACTACCAGCCCAGTGTACTGTCCCCTGTCATACTCAATGGTCTGCCTACAAAATTACGACGTTGCATCTCATGGAAGAAAAGTCCATTGAAGTTTACTTAATACATAATTATTAGTTTTGAATAGCAGTAAACCGTTCATACCCATAACTTTGTGTAGCAACAGGTTATGCAGTTGTACACTATACTATGTCAAGAACCCACTGACCCCTTCCTTCAGTATCTCTGAAGCTTTGTTTGAGAAAAGACAATGAGTAGTTCATCTCCCCAGCTTTCGTGTCCTACTTCAGCTTTTACAGACTTCTGCCTTACTTTTCATTTGGTTATCTGTTTACCAAGCAAAAGAGTACCAGTCTATTTATTCCTTGTGAGGAAGCTATTTATCATCTTAATT